TCAAAAACAAAACAAAACGTAAGTAAAGCTGAGTTTTGAATCATTGGAGTTTGACATACCAAATCGAGGAGGAAAAGCTTTGCACCTAATGAGGATGGAATGCAAAGGCACAACAGGTGAAAGAGTCTCATCTTATTTTAACAAATGATACATTTGATTGGAGAATGGGTACAGGATAGCCAGAGTTGAAGCCATAGAAGTAAGTAGAGGTAGATTGTCATGCTAAAGAGTTCTTACAAAATCCTATAGGCCAAAAGTATAGTATATAGCCAGAAGTGATTTTTGAAGAAGATAATGAGAATGTGATAGGTACATGACTTCAGTTTTATTTTACGTTGAAAGTCAGTCAGCAGCTGCATGATGAAGAAAACCATTTTTTTTAGTTTGTCTTTCTCTTTTGAAAGATTATAAAAAATAATGTAAAAGCAAATACATAACCATTATAAAAATAACCGTTTGTATTCTATCACTGTCCTCTGGGTACTTATTTTTCAGCATATTAGTATCACAACTAAAATCTCAAATAAGAAAGTTAAGCCTCTTTCTTACCCTGCTTCTCCCACAATTTCTATTATAAAAATGTTTAAATATGCCGAAAAGTTGAGACTTCTACAGTGAACATGTGTATATCTACCACATGGATTCTACAATTAACACTTTTCTGTTCTAATCATCCCTTTATACGTTAATTCATCTTATTTTTTTGATACATTTTAAAGTCAATTGCAGATGCCTGGTATACTTCTAAACACTTCAGTGGGCATATTATTAACTACAGTTCAATATTTGTTTACAGTTTATTTTCTTTTGAAGGCTTGTTTGGAGGTTCTAGCAGGGGAGCACAGCTACTTATATATCCTTGACCTTGACCCAAGACCGGTCCTCCTCTATCAGGGATGGTCATCCTCTTTAACCCAGCGTGCAGCTTTGGAAGGGATGCACATAGAACGATGAGGGAGGAAGTAGACACCCACCTAGCCAACCAGATCAGCGCAGTTACCCCTGGTGATCAGTGGGGTGACAGATGTTACAGCCAGGTCGCCCTCACATTCTTTCTTTTGAAATAAAATTTACTACAATGAAATACATAAATCTTAAGTATATAGTTCAATAAGATTTGAAAACTACATATCCCTTTCTAATCAAAATCCCCACGAAGACATAGTACAAATAGTATCAGCACCTTAGAAAGTTCCCTCATGTTCTTTCACAGTTAGTCCCTGCCTCTTCCCCCTCAAATGTAAGCATTGTTCTGATTTTTCCTAGCATAGATTAATTTTATCTGTTCTAGGACTTCATGTAAATGGAGTAATGCACTGTATACTCTTATGTGAGGCTTCTTTCACTCAGGATCTTTTTTTGATTTTCATCCATACTATTGCTTGCATCAATAGTTTGTTTCTTTTTAACATTGCATTGTATGGGTATACCAAGTTATTTATCAGTTTTCCTGATGATGGACACCTGGGTTGTTTCCACTTTTTGTCTATTAAGAATAAAGCTGCTATGAACTTTCTTTTTATGGAGGATCTTTTTTTTAACTTGATTTTTTAAATGTGTTCTATTTATATCCCACCTGTATATAGATCACGCTTACCCAGTAATATCTTCCATAGTCTCCCCTTTTGTGCATACCTGGAAGTAGTGTAGTGTATTGAAAAAGACATTGAGCTAGGCTGGTTGTGGTGGTTCACGCCTGTAATCCCAGCACTTTGGGAGGCTGAGGTGGGTAGATCACCTGAAGCCAGGAGTTCGAGACCAGCCTGGCCAACATGGCAAAACCCTGTCTCTACTAAAAATACAAAAACTAGCCAGGCATGGTGATGCATACCTGTAATCCCAGCTACTCAGGAGGCTGAGGCAGGAGAATTGCATGAACCCCTGGAGGCAGAGGTTGAATGAGCTAAGATTACGCCACTGCACTCCAGCCTGGGCGACAGAGCAAGACTCCATCTCAAAAAAACAAAAACAAACAAAACGAAACATTGAGCTACAAAATCTAGAAGGGAGTATCCTAATCTTCATGTTCCTACCACAGGGTCTTTGGTAAATACTCTTTATTCTCTTTCTCATCCCTGTAAGAGGGATTCAGCTTAATGTTACATGGTTTTCATCTTAAATACTTCTCTGGAGTAATCTGTTGGGGATTTGAGGCTACAACAGCCTAGCAAAAATCACTTCTGTGATCAGTTAGCTAGTAAAACTTCCACGGGCCACTTATTAAGTATTTGCCATCCTTGAACCAGTCCAATCTTAAGCTTTTTGCAATTTTATGTTTCTGCTGTAATTTGAGACTAGTTCATTTTTACTTGAGTTACCAAATCTTCTCAAGTGTTTTTCTCTTCTTTCCCTAGAAAATGGAATCCTAATGGAATTTCTTAACCCTGAGGCTAACATTTTTTGTGTTTTTTTCTTGACTCACTGTACTCTAGTTTCCTATAACACTGTCAGTCATTTATCATTTCTCCTCATGACGTTGGTTTCGAAAGTCTCAGCTTAACCTTCTTCATTGCTTCCTTTTTCTATCTCTTTCCTTCAGAACCTTATTAAAAACCTTGATTTAGGTAGGGATCAGAATTTTAATGTCATTTTTCTCTATTATCAATTAAAATTTTGCATTATATCAAAGCTTGGGACGTTTGTTTCCCTCTTATGATGGTAGAGAAAATGTAACATGGACATGATGATATAGGTATGGTGAAGAGAAGAGTGTGATTACATAATCAAGATGAAATGATACTGTTTTTTAAAATGTCAGTCTCCAGAATGCAGCAGAAAACTAATTAGATACGTGGTTGAGCAAAATAATGTGCAAAGATACTGTGTGGCTTAAAAAGATTAATGAAGCATGTTTATAAGAAAAAAGCTTTCCTTTGGGTACCTTATCAAATTTAGTAAGGCCAAAAAAGCTTGTTGGGGCCTATGTTTTAAGACTGCTTTACTGTACATTAAGTTTTTCAAATAATTGGTTGTGTGTTTCAGACAACTGTGTTTATTTTCTGGATTCCAAAATGTCTGCCTTCTTCTTATAGTGTCACATCGTAGCTCTTCAACAAAGTAACTTAGCCTTCATAAAAATAATAGCACCTGGGTGCTCTGGACTGGAGCAGCTGCTCTGTAACCTCAGATTTTAGATCTCGGGAGAAAAAAAGCAGTTTTTAGTTATTCTCTGGCCAGAGACTAAGTCCTTATGGTTCTAGATCTGTGCATGAGTCATTATCTCTGTGTGTCAAAGGTTATGCCATTTTCAGAGATGACATAGTGACAATGTCTCTTCCTCCGACCCCTGTAATTTTTTTAATGTGTCATATAGTTTTATGTTTCTCATGTACTTCATTAATCCAGGAAACATTTATTAAGCCCTTCTGCAGTTTTTAGATACTGGGAAAACACATGACTAAAACATCATTTCTGCTCTTCCCAGTGCTGGCAATACAATGGGGGAACAGAAGTACAAATAACAATAAAATGAGAGCTATGAAAACTAAGGATTGCTTAATTGTGCCTAGAGTGGGGCAGAGGCAGCTTCTTAACAAAGAAGGGTTTGAATTCACCACATAGATTGGCAGAGCTTCACTTATGAAAAGAACAGCATATGTGAGGGTGAAAGAGAGAACATATGAAGAAATGAACCTTTTTGAGGTAAAGTTTGAGTGGAAGTAAGATTGAAACAGGAACTTCTGCTTGCCAAGAGATGGAATTTAGTTAGAGTGTTAGAATGACAAAGTCACAATTTTTAACTAGGTCACTTTGGCAGTAGTGGGGAAAGATTTAAAAGGAGCAAAATTGGGATAGAGGACATCAGTTTAGGCAAGAGTTAAGCATCAGAAATGTAGTGGCAGTGGGTTTGGAGAAGACAGAGTGAACTTAAGAGCTATTTAGAAGTGAAGATGAACGGACAAGGAGGAGTCATCGATTACATAAACATCTAGCTTTGGTGTCTAGGAAAATAGACATGCAAACAGTGAGAGGATGATAATCAGTTAGTGAAACTTTTTGTGATTGCACTCAGCAAGAATAATTATATAGGTTTCTTAAGACAGTGTTGTATATCAAACTAAATATTAGATAATGTTGATTTTTTTGTCTACATAATCTTATTTTTAAAAACCAACCGATAGAAGAATATTAAATATGGGAAACTAGAATAGAAGTATTTAACAAAGCTAGGATTGTGCAGGTTATTTTGGTTTACAGATTCTTCACTTATGTTTTAGAAACGTGTTTGGCCTTTTGCATACTTAATCCTTTGCTGATAAAGTCAGATTGTGGTAAATTTTAAATTGTCCTGGTTTGGAGTTCATCAAATCATTTGAAACTTCTAATTATATTTGTAATGAAAATTATTAAATTTACATTAAAAATATCGAGAAAAATTACCTTGTGTGTTCTGAAGTTAAAAAAGAAAATTAGCTTGAGGCAGGCTTAGTTTAGTTTCCTTTACCAAACAATTGTACTGTTTGAATTCAGATTTTTCTCATTGCTACTCTTAGAGTTAAGTGACCTGGAAAAAAAGAAAGAAACCAGCCTCGGCAACATAGGGAGACCCTGTCTCTACAAATAAGAAAAAAGATTAGCTGAGTGTGGCGGTGGGTACCTGTAGTTACAGCTAGTTTGGAGGCTGAGGTGGGAAGATCACTTGAGCTAGGTTAGGGTGTTTGAGATTAGAGTGAGCTATGAGCATGCCACTGCACTCTAGCCTGGGCGACAGAATGCGACCTTGTCTCCAAAAAAAAAAAAAAGGATTTGTGAGTATGTGAGTGGTTAGGCACAGGAAAGGTTTGTGTTACCTTAGTAGAACAAAATGAAGTTAAAGTGAAGAGGATGTTGATAACTTGATGAAGTGGTCCACATTGTGGAGATCCTGCTGAGGAGTGAAAAATAAATAAGAGTAAGCCAGGATATAACTATTGTTTGGTCTTATGTTCTGATTATTTTTTTGTTGAAACGCTAGCTTATTTTAAGTAAAACTTAAACTTTATTTTTTCTCCTTCCTTTAGAACGTATAATGAAGAAAACAGAAGAGTCCGAATCACAAGTGGAGCCTGAAATTAAGAGGAAAGTACAACAGAAACGGCACTGTAGTACCTATCAGCCTACTTCTCCTCTATCTCCTGCTTCAAAAAAATGTTTAACCCATTTGGAGGTAAGTAGAGAAATTATTCTTTATTGCTAATCAGATTGTGTTTTTATTAATATTAGTTTCAGTACTTATTAAATTCTAGGTGATCTTTTATCATAGGACCAGAAGAGATCTGGAAAAGTTATTTAGGCAAACTTTTCTGCCTTCAGTAGACCATTTTTATGCTTGTCCCAAATATAGAATTTATTTTTCTGTAAAGAGTTTATCAGCGCTTCCCTGCAACATACTTCAAATGATTGCTGTCTGCCAGAAATTTTTTCAAATAATTTTAAGAGGTTGAAAAGTTAAAAAAAAAAAAAAAAGTAGAAAGAAAATCTATATATTTATCTTCCAGATTCCTTGTTTTTCACATTTGCTTTATTGTCCTTGCTCTCTATGCCTTTTTCCCTCCTTCCTCCTGCCTACCCATAAGCATGTGTATGTGTATTTTTTTGTACTGTTTGAGTTGAAGTTACAAGCATGATGCCCATTTACCATTTAATACTTAAGTATATGTGTTTTTGATTTTTTTTTATAGTTAGAGTACATCTGTCAAAATCTCAAAATTAACATTGATCCGAAATTACCATCTAATCCACAAATCCCATTCAAATTTCACCTAAATAATGTCCTTTATGGGTATAGAATTCAATTCAGGGTCATGTGCTGCATTGAGTTTCCACGAATCTTTAGTCTTTTTCGATAGAAATAATTTCATAGTCTCATCTTTCATAATCTTGGTATTTGTTGAGGAGTACAGGACACTTTGTGCCTCAAATTGGGTTTGTCTGATGTTTGTAAATGATGTATGTAGTTTTCAAGAATGCTTCAGAAATGATGCTGCAATCTTACTCCATTATATCAGGAGACATATGATGTTGATTTTCACATTAATGATATTTTGCCTTAGTTAAGATGTTCTAGATTTCTTCACTGCAATGTCAGTTAATAGGTATTTTGACTAATTTATTAATAAGATTTCTAACATGAGCTAGAAGTATTTCTTATCCCACATTTATATATTCATTTATATCAGCATGTACATATGAATAGTTGTTTTACTCAAAAGGGTTATAGTCTGTAACTTCCATGATGTTTCATGACTTACTTTGATGCTTCAATTGTCCCAAATTCCATGTGAGTCCCTTCAAGGTGGCCTCTGTTTTTTTTGACATGTCCCTATCATTCTTTGAAGACATTTATGACATTCACTTCTCTGCTTTTTAGTATAACAAGATGGTCTTAACTTATCTTGTATTTCTTTTTTTTTCCCCCAAGATGGAGTCTTGCTCTGTCACCCAGGCTAGAGTCTGGGTGGCACGATCTCGGCTCCCTGTAGCCTCCACCTCTCGGTTCAAGCAGTTCTTCTGTCTCAGCCTCCTGAGTATCTGGGACTACAGGTGCATGCTACCATACCTGGCTTATTTTTGTATTTTTAGTAGAGATGGGGTTTCACCATGTTGGCCAGACTGGTCTTGAACTCCTGACCTCAGGTAATCCACCCACCTCAGCCTCCCAAAGTGCTGGGATTACAGGCTGAGCCACTGTGCCCGGCCATTATCTTGTATTTCTGTCTCAGCCCTAGAGTCATTCATTTCTCCGAGGAGCCATGCATACAAGGAAAAGGAAATATCTTCTCCTTTAAGTGGAAGGAACATGTTTGGACACTAGTTATGTTCATTCATGTGGGCATTATTGTTTCTCGGCCTTCTCAGTGGACAAAGCTAAGAAATATATGTGTGTGTATTAATATTTAATCCATATTAGAATCCATGAGTTCACACAGTAACTCTAATTCCAGTCCAACACCACTGACTTTAATTTTTCCCATGTTTCATGTTTGTAACCCCCTTCTCCAGAAGTGATTAACTTGACTCCCATCATCCCCAGTGTATTTACCTGTTAGCTTAGTTTTTCTTTATGTGGTAATGTCCTGCCATGCCAACCTAAGTTTGGCTCAGACCATACTGATATCACCTACTGATTAGCCTAGATAAAGGAGGAGGAAAACTCCTCCCTAGATACAATATCTTTCGTCCAGTGGACATGCCCACTGAAAACCTCAGTTTGTTTGTTTGTTTTTAAAGTTCAGGGGTACACATACAGGATGTGCAGGTTTGTTACATAGGTAAACGTGCTGTGGTGGTTGCTGCACAGATCATCCCATCACCTAGGTATTAAACACAACAATAATTACTTTTTAATAAAAGTCTTCCTTCTTTTACTCTATTCCTATGCCAGTTGTTCTGGTTTTCTTCTTAGTGGAGATAAAGAATTATAGCCAACCTCTATGTAATCTTTAATTCCTAGACAAAGTTAGTGGTTTTTCTTTCCATGTATAGTCTCTGAAATTCTACACTATGTACCACTTGTAAGAAAACAAGATCTGTGGGCCAGGTGCGGTGGCTCACGCCTGTAATCCCAGCACTTTGGGAGGCTGAGGCAGGTGGATCACCTGAGGTCAGGAGTTTGAAACCAGTCTGGCCAATATGGTGAAGTCCTGTCTCTACTAAAAATACAAAAATTAGCTGAGCGTGGTGGTGGGCACCTGTAGTCCCAGCTACTTGGGAGGCTGAGGCGGGAGAATCTGTTGAACCCTGAAGGCAGAGGTTGCAGTAAGCCGAGATCGTGCCATTACACTCCAGCCTGGGCAACGAGCAAATCTCTTTCTCTAAATAAATAAACAAATAAGTAAATAAATGAAAAAGAAAACAAGGTCTGTGAATTTAATGGGATTAACATCTTTAGGATATTTAATAAAAATGACATAGTCTCAAAGACAGACTTATTAAGTGCAGTTGGTTATTTATAGGTAGTCTTGCAGATACTATGTGATACGTAGTTTGGAATTATTTAATTTTGTAAAAAGCCTTCCACTTCTGACCAAAGCAGGGAATGAGATTTTAATCAGTTTTTCTTTTTCTTGAATTTTTTTTATTTGGAGAGATTGGATGTTGCCATGTTGCCCAGGCTGGTCTTGAACTCTTGACGCTAACCAGTCCTACTGCCTCAGCCTCCCAATGTGTTGGGATTACAGACCTGAACCACAATGTCCAGGCTTAGTCAGTTTTTGTTTTCCACAAGAAATTACACTTAACATAAAATGTTTGTGAAAATGTATTACTTTACAGTATTCTCTACTAAAACTGAGCAGTATTAAGATTCTAGTTTTTAGAGAATTAGGTTGATAAAATGTTAATCTCTAGTTTTTATCATGAAAGTTTTTTTTATCTTACTCAGTGTAGTGTATCTACGTTTTGTTCCTAATTCTCACAGAGTTCCAAGATACATGTTTCTTAGCTGATGAAAGGCGTATGGTAATAGCTCAGAACATACTTCCTTTCATATTTTAATCTTGGGGATTTTAATAGTAGGAATGTGTTTTTTCTGTTTTAGTGTCAATTTTATGAGAGGAAATAGCACTTTTCCATGGAGTTCTTTTCATTTAGATATGCCCTCTTTACCTTTATTGTAGACACTAATGTAATGGAGCCAGTCAGTACTCAGCGTGATCGTATCCTCAGATTCTTGGTGACAGTTAATTTATATATAGCTGACTGCTAGACTGGATAGTCTTGAAAATTTCTTCCAGCATTTTGATATTAAATCCCAACTAACATGACTTATTTAGGATCTCATGGTAGCCATGATGGTAATGATGGGGAAGAGAGGGACTTAATTTTGAGACTTTGAGGGGATTCCTTAATGATGCAATAAAATGCCAAAATCTTTTATTTCTTTTATTCTTTTGGAACTTAAAGTTTCTGAACACCGTGAATGTTGTCCAAAATGTGGAAAAGAAAAAGAAAATCAGACCAAATGCCAAAGTTATGGTGTTCTTTTTTCTAAGGATTTGCAAAGAAATTGCAGACAAGCTATTACTTTGAATGAGTCTGCTGGACCATTATTAAGAACGTCAATTCATCAGAATTCTGGAGGACAGAAGTCACAAAACACAGGATTAACAACCAAGAAGTTTTATGGCAACAGTATGGAAAAGATTCCAATTGATATTATTGTGAATTGTGATGAGAGTAAACACACTTATTTACAGACTAATGGAAAAGTCATTTTACCTGGGGCAAAAATACCCAAAATCACAAACTTGAAAGAAAGGAAAACAAGTTTGTCAGACCTAAATGATCCAAGTAAGTATTTTACTCCCTTTAATATTGCTTATATCAATCCAATATTTTTCAGATATATTTTTACAACCAGTCTCTCCAACCCCATATGTATTTTTAATGTAAGTGTGAGCTTAAAACTAATCTTGTTCTCATCCTGTCCATCTTAAATAGTTTAAAAAAAAAAAAAAAAAAAAAACACAGAACTTGACCCTAGTCTTAGATGAATTGCTAGTTAAAACCAGCATTCGGACTTTGGCCAGGTTAATTTAATCTTTCTGATCTGTAAATGTGTGTATCTCCTGCTGATAGTGAAATTTTTTCTGGGGTGGGGGGGAGCTAAAATAACATAAAATACGCGTAGCCCAATAAAATATTTGACATACAATATCCTTACCACATTTGTTCTTAAATCTGCATCATGTCTTTTTACTCTTGTGTGTATGCATATGGCATGCAGTTCTTGTTTATAATAAATAGCAAAAGATTAGAAATTATTGGGGATTGGTTGACTAGAGTATACAGCGATAAAGGAGTGAAAGATCTGATAAACTGTATAGAGTAATTTCCAAGATCCTTAATTAAGTGAGTAATGCAAGCTACCGATAAGAGTGTATACTGTGGAGAATGAGCATAATTTCTTTTAAAAAATAGAAACTGGGCATAGTGGTGTCCCAGCCACTCAGGAGACTGAGATGAGAGAATTGCTTGAGTCCAGGAGTTGAAGCGTAGCCAGGGCAGTATAGCAAGACCCTGTTGCGAAAAAAAAAATTAATAATTGTAAATAGAACACTAGGCTTTCCTTTTAATATATACTTGTGCCGTTTTTCATTAAAAATACAGTTCATGGGCCTTTTTAAAAAATCTGTATACATGTGTAGACGTACATCTGTATGTATATATACATCTATATATGTCAGGTACTGTGCTAAGCATTTTACATACCATTTGTTCCTTGCAACAATTCTGTAAAATAGATACCCTTACTGTCCTTAATTCTACGGAGAAGAGAAATTGAGCCAAATAACCAGTAAGTGGCAAAACCCCACCTCCCAAATGCTATGTATGTAAATCTGTTTAGATTGTCTAATCTGGCCTGTTAGGTTTTCTGCTAATGAAAGACCAGTGTTGAAAGAGAAACCATGCTCAGTATTTGTTCCTGAGACTGGCCAGTAAAATTAATAAGACAGGTAGAGAAATGCTGAGATGATGCTTCTCTGGGACATGTACATTACTCAGTAAAAATTAAGCATTTATGTTTGAAATACTAATAAAGAAAAATTCCTCTTTCAAGTTCATGCATTCTTCAACATATGACTTTTGAATGCTTTTTCTGTGTCAGGCTATTTTAGGCCTGAGGATATAGCAGTGAACAAGACAATGTCCCTGCTGTCTTATAGTTTATGTGTAGCAGGGGGAAACAGATAAGCAAGTGAACATCTGCAACAAAGAACAACAGAAAATTTAAATCAGTTAATTTGACTGTGAGTGTGCTTACTTTATTGGGTTATCAAAGTGATATGTAAACTAAAACTTGGTGGCCAGAATGCATAATATTGAGGGAAGTAGAATTCAGGCAGGAGCAAGCTTGTGGTGTTTGAGGGACAGAAATACTGACTAGTGTGCCTGGAGGATAAAGAAACAAAAAACAGAATATTATGAGAAAATTGGACAGATAGGCAGGGGCCAGATTATGTAAATTTATAAACCATAGCAAGGAGTTTGTATTTGACTCAAATACAAAATGAGTGGCTTTCCGGAATTAAGATACAGAGATAGATTCGCTAAGATTCAGTAATGAGTACAAGGTATAAGAGCAAATTACCATTGTAATGTCTTTTCTTGCTCACGTCCATTGATCATCAGCCAGACTTATTGAACATTAGGTACTGGTCCAGATTTTTCCGAGGACCAGTTAAGATTTTAGTAACTTCCTGTGTGAGATAAAATTACTTGGCTACGGCCGGGCGCGGTGGCTCAAGCCTATAATCCCAGCACTTTGGGAAGCTGAAGCGAGTGGATCACCTGAGGTCGCTCGCCAACATGGTGAAACCCCATCTCTACTAAAAATACAAAAATTAGCTGGGTGTGGTGGCGGGCGCCAGTAGTCCAAGCTACTTGGGAGGCTGAGGCAGGAGAATGGCGTGAACCCAGGAGGCAGAGCTTGCATTGAGTGGAGATCACGCCACTGCACTCCAGCCTGAGTGACAAAGCGAGACTCCATCTCAAAAATAAATAAATAAATATAAAATAAAATAAAATAAAAGGTGGTGTGGCTGTTTGAATCCAGGCAGTCTGATTCCCAGAGTACTATTCTTGACTGCCATGCTATTACTCAGATTTATATTACAACTAAAGTATAGCTACATAAGATACAGGTATTTACTGTTATATAAAAACCATGAATTTTAATTTTATCTAACACTGTTGAAGGGAAACCCATTTTATGTTGTGATATTTACGTTTCTTTTATTGGGTCTTTGCATATGTTTATACTTAGCTTGCAGCTTTGTTTCAGTAAATTATTAAGTGAAAATTTTCTTTTCCTTTTTAGTTTGGCAATTCTATTATCAACACACCTCTAAAACGTCGTAAAGTGTTTTCTCCAGAAACTTTAGTTGATCCTTTAACTTTAAGCTGCCAAAGTTCCTTTGACAGTGTCATTTTAAACTGTCGAAGTATACGAGTAGGAACACTCTTCCGGCTGTTAACAGAGCCTGTAATTGTAAGTACATTCTTAAGCTTTTTCCTATACCAATTTTAACATTAAAAATTCCATTGCTAAAGCTAATATATAATATTTTAAATTTGTAAATTAAAATATTTAATAGAATATCAAAATTAGTTCAAGATTTCACGTTGCTTTAAGAGTATATACATAGTAGCTCCTCACCATTAAAATGAGTTAGAAAACCTTCCAATATGTTACTGATTTAGTATCATGCCAGCTAAGTTCATGAAAAGACTATATTAAAGAACTGTAATGAGTGAATGAAGATTCCAGAAGCTTTGGGATCTGCTGGAAAATGTATTACAGCATCAAGACTCCTAGAAATAGATTATTGTACTATAATGGCTGCCCAAAAGGCATTGTGCATTGTACTAGTTCATTGTCCACAATACCCAAAGGACTTTGTGTACTTTATCTTACTCATCATACCTGTGTACTTACTATTCTGCCACCAATCCAAGTTTTTATTTTCTGTTTGAAATTTTAATATAATCTCCTTAACTAGTCTTCTTAGTCATCATTTTTCTCTCTAATGTATTCTAAACATTGTTGCTAGATTAATTGTACAGCACTGTATGCATTCTGTAAGCCTTTATTTTATAATGTCTTAACTTGGTGTCCCTATGTATTTCCAACTCTTCTTTCAAACTAATATTGTCCTTTTTACATAATTGTCCTAACATTGTCCTTTTTACATAAAGCACTTGTCTTTAAGAGAACTTATTGCCGGGCATGATGTCTCACGCCTGTAATCCCAGCACTTTGGGAGGCCAAGGCGGCTGGATCACGAGGTCAGGGGTTTGAGACCAGCCTGGCTAATATGCTGAAACCCCATCTCTACTAAAAATACAAAAATTAGCTGGGCGTGGTGGCGCACACCTGTAATCCCAGCTACTCGGGAGGCTGAGGCAGGAGAATCACTTGAGCCCAGAAGGCAGAGGTTGCAGTGAGCCAAGATTGCACCACTGTACTCCAGCCTGGGTGACAGAATGAGATTCCATCTCAAAAAAAAAAAAAAAAAAACTTGACTACATGGAGTTTCACACATATTTACAATGCGTGCTATTTTGCGAACAAGTTGTATGCAAATTATTTTTTACACCTTAAATTTTTTGGGACTCTGAAATGGACCTACCATTCTTGTAACTTGCTGATATTGCTGTTTGGGTGAGTGAGGATGAATTGTAAAATCAAATTTTATATTTGTATAATTTTTTAAAAAGATGCCAAGTCTTAATGCTTTCTTCAGATTTAACTTTTTATCAGATAGAATGGATTGTATCTTCATTCATTTTTATTAACCTTAGATCTGGAGGAGGTCCAAAGCAAATTCAGTGTATTTTCCATTTTGGTAATTTATTTGACTTTTTAATGGACAGAAATGAAACATAAAATTATGACTGTAGTTTTAATATAAATTATAAATTATTAAAATACTTTTAGTCATTTTGTCCAGTGATGATGATGATGACAACGACAGAACTAACAGAAGAGAGAGCATATCTCCTCAGCCTGCTGATTCAGCATGTTCTTCCCCTGCACCATCCACTGGAAAAGTAGAAGCAGCACTAAATGAAAATACTTGCAGAGTAGAGCGTGAACTACGAAGCATTCCAGAAGACTCAGAGTTAAGTACAGTTACGTTGCCAAGAAAAGCAAGAATGAAAGACCAGGTACTTTTCACATTTGTTGACATTTGTTCAGATTAATGCCTCCATTTTGGGGTGTAAACTTTTTTTAGAAGGCAGTTTGGTAGCGCCAGGAGAAAACGATGGATTATTCATTAAGTGGGGCTTAAATACTACGTGGGAGATTATTTGAAAGAACATTAAGCCATATACAAAAATAAGTTTCAATTAAACTTAAGGCTTAAAGTTTAAAAAATTCAACAAGAAAACACAGTATTAACCTTACAATAAAATGTCAGTATGTACAAAGATTTCTTATAAAATCTAGCAGAGGAGAGAAGTCATTTTAACAGGGATATATTTTACTGTAATAGTACGTTTCATTATGTTATGTTTTATATTTTACTATAAAAGTTTCAAAAAGTTCACATGGAAAAAGGTAATATGGATGATGTCAATAGACAAACAATATCTAGAACAACTATTTGTAATGCAGATGACATAATATTTTAATGTCTGTAATAGACTAAGAACTCTTAAAATTTACAAGATAAAAATAAAGTGAACAAAGGATAAGAATGGACAAAAATAGAAAATTCATGCAGTAAACTACCACATGAAAAGTGCAAATTAAGGAAAATGAAATACAACTGTATTCAATGGACTTTAAAAATTGTTACAAAATCAGTTAATATTATGCTGTTGTCAAGAATCCAAGGGAAAGGATACTTTCCTAGTCTGCTGATGGAAAAGAAAGTTACTATGGTCTTTTGGGAAAGAAATGTAAAAATGACCATTAAAAAATTTTTAATGTGTACTATTTGACCAAATAATTAACTCCTTAGACTCCATCTTCCCCAGTACATAAGACTTTATATGCAGACATGATTATTGGCAAACAAAGTCATTGCCTGTTAATATGGATATAGCTGAAGAAGTTATGGTATATCCATATGATGCAGCCATTGAAAATAAAAATTAGAACTTATATCAGTGACTTTTAGGATATCTGCATGATATTGTTAAGTGAGAATACCAAATTAAGGAAATATGTGTATATTACTTTAGTAAGAACATTTTTGTAAAATAATAAAACTTGTATGTTAAATTGTTTGTGTGTGTGTTTATACATGTCAGTGTGTTCATAGGAGTACAGATAAAAATATGGGAACATATATACTTGGTTATTAAGATGGGAACCTTAAAAAATGAGAAACAACAGAGGTAATCATAAGGATAATAGAAAAATATATGGATTTATTTATTTACTTACTTATTTAAAGGGGGGATCTTGCTCTATCACCCAGGCTGGGATTACAGGTGCAAGCCACTGTACCCGGCTGGATTAATATTTTTATATAATCTTACAGAATGCCTTTCCAACATGGTAGCACAAGCAAAAATAGTAAATGAAAAGATGAATATGTCTGATTAAATGAAAAGTAGAACAGTGTAGCAAAACACTCTGAACACAATTTGATAGATGAATGGAAATGGAAAAATAGTAAGCTATGTGACAAAGTGTAAAGTAGTCCTTAATATATTTTTAATTTTTTAAAAATCAAGAAATAGAGGCAAACCATAGGGAAATAAGGAAAGGAAATGAATAGAATTCAAAAAAACATAGTAATCAAAGTAGTGAAAATGAAATTAAAATACCTTTTGTGAACTTCAGATTGCTGAAAATTTTAAAACTATGATATTGTCTCATCTTGATCAGTGTTTGGAGAAGTGGAATGTTGAGTGTATAAGTTGATTTAACTGTTGAGGACAGTTTGGCAGTAATTCTAAATGTGTACCACAATTGACTGGACTGCAAAAATGCTCTTTGAAGAATAGTTTGCTATCGCAAGAGATTGGAAAGAACGTAGATGTCCAGCATATGAGTTCAGTTAAATTAATGATGAATTTCCATGTAATGGAATGTTTAGATGAGCAGTTTTCAGACTGACACACTGAATCGTAAGGATACCTCAGTGTGTACTGTCTTCGATGATGCTCCGTGGAGGGGGTGGAACATTCAAATTCTAGACTAAATCCTTTACTGTAGATTCAACTGGAGCAGCTCTTACCTGTTTTATTAGTGAGCTAAATAACCTCTCATTTGAAGATGTAACTCTACAGCTAAAAACAAAACAAAACACTTTTAAACCTCTCTAACAGGTTTCTTTAATAATAAGGGAAAATAGACTGGATGTGGTGGCTCACGCCTGTAATCCCAGCACTTTGGGAGGCCAAGGTGGACAGATTCCCTGAGGTCAGGAGTTCAAGACCAATCTGGCCAACATGATGAAACCCTGTCTCTACTAAAAGTACAAAAACATTAGCCAGGCGTGTGCCTATAATCCCAGCTACGTGGGAGGCTGAGGCAGGAGAATTGCTTGAACCCCCTAGGGAGGTGGAGGTTGCAGTGAGCCGAGATCATGTCACTGCGCTCTAGCCTGTGCAACAGAGTGAGACTCCATCTCAAAAAATAGTAACAGTAATGGAGAATATTAATGATAAATCTGTTAATAAGCCTGAAAATGCAGTTCACAAAATCATGTATGTATGATTTTATATCATATATATGATCATATTTTGTTTAAAATACATATTTTTTCCTGTGACATATATCATAGAAATACCTTTAGAAGGATAATGGGAATGGTGGACATTCTTTTCCTTTATTTTCTGTCAAGATACTGTTTTATTCTTGTGATGATAATAAAGATACTAATATAATTACTTTTAATTAAAATTATATACCTATATAAAGTGTTTATGATTAATTTCTATTTGGAAGTGACTGGAATCATAATTTAACAGATGAAATAGTTTAAAATATGTAAATATATAAGGAAGGGTTATTTCGTAATGCAGATAACCATTCCCCTAAATTGCTTGCTTTCTAAATAATTGCTGATTTAATTCAAGTATCATTGCCACTATAACTAGCAGCATTTTACTGTGCATGAAGCACTCTGCTAAACTGCTTTTTATGCATTAACTCAGTTGAGTAGATACTCTTACTCTGTAGATTTTAGAGTTTAGGGAACCAAAACTTACATAAGTTGTTAAGTTTTACAAGATCAGTTTTTGTTGTTGTTGTTGTCGTTGTTGTTGTTGTTGCGGCTTTTGAGAAGGAGTTTTGATCTTGTTGCCCAGACTGGAGTGCAGTGGCGTGTTCTTGGCTCACTGCAACCTCCACCTCCCAGTTAAGCAATTCTCCTGCCTCAGCCTCCTGAGTGGCCAGGATTACAGTCACCTGCCACCACACCCGGCTAATTTTTTGTATTTTTAGTAGAGACGAGGTTTCACTGTGTTGGCCAGGCTAGTATCGAACTCCTGACCTCAGGTGATCTGCCCATCTCGGCCTCCCAAAGTGCTGGGAGTACAGGCGTGAGCCACCGTGCCCGTCCAAGATCAGATCTTTAAAAGGTGGTGTTGGCCGGGCGCAGTGGCTACGCCTGTACTCCCAGCACTTTGGGAGGCTGAGGTGGGCGGATGACGAGGTCAGGAGATTGAGACCATCCTGGCTGACACGGTGAAACCCCGTCTCTACTAAAAATACAAAAAAAAATTAGCCGGGTGTGGTGGCGGGCGCCAGTAGTCCAAGCTACTTGGGAGGCTGAGGCAGGAGAATGGCGTGAACCCAGGAGGCAGAGCTTGCATTGAGTGGAGATCACGCCACTGCACTCCAGCCTGAGTGACAAAGCGAGACTCCATCTCAAAAATAAATAAATAAATATAAAATAAAATAAAATAAAAGGTGGTGTGGCTGTTTGAATCCAGGCAGTCTGATTCCCAGAGTACTATTCTTGACTGCCATGCTATTACTCAGATTTATATTACAACTAAAGTATAGCTACATAAGATACAGGTATTTACTGTTATATAAAAACCATGAATTTTAATTTTATCTAACACTGTTGAAGGGAAACCCATTTTATGTTGTGATATTTACGTTTCTTTTATTGGGTCTTTGCATATGTTTATACTTAGCTTGCAGCTTTGTTTCAGTAAATTATTAAGTGAAAATTTTCTTTTCCTTTTTAGTTTGGCAATTCTATTATCAACACACCTCTAAAACGTCGTAAAGTGTTTTCTCCAGAAACTTTAGTTGATCCTTTAACTTTAAGCTGCCAAAGTTCCTTTGACAGTGTCATTTTAAACTGTCGAAGTATACGAGTAGGAACACTCTTCCGGCTGTTAACAGAGCCTGTAATTGTAAGTACATTCTTAAGCTTTTTCCTATACCAATTTTAACATTAAAAATTCCATTGCTAAAGCTAATATATAATATTTTAAATTTGTAAATTAAAATATTTAATAGAATATCAAAATTAGTTCAAGATTTCACGTTGCTTTAAGAGTATATACATAGTAGCTCCTCACCATTAAAATGAGTTAGAAAACCTTCCAATATGTTACTGATTTAGTATCATGCCAGCTAAGTTCATGAAAAGACTATATTAAAGAACTGTAATGAGTGAATGAAGATTCCAGAAGCTTTGGGATCTGCTGGAAAATGTATTACAGCATCAAGACTCCTAGAAATAGATTATTGTACTATAATGGCTGCCCAAAAGGCATTGTGCATTGTACTAGTTCATTGTCCACAATACCCAAAGGACTTTGTGTACTTTATCTTACTCATCATACCTGTGTACTTACTATTCTGCCACCAATCCAAGTTTTTATTTTCTGTTTGAAATTTTAATATAATCTCCTTAACTAGTCTTCTTAGTCATCATTTTTCTCTCTAATGTATTCTAAACATTGTTGCTAGATTAATTGTACAGCACTGTATGCATTCTGTAAGCCTTTATTTTATAATGTCTTAACTTGGTGTCCCTATGTATTTCCAACTCTTCTTTCAAACTAATATTGTCCTTTTTACATAATTGTCCTAACATTGTCCTTTTTACATAAAGCACTTGTCTTTAAGAGAACTTATTGCCGGGCATGATGTCTCACGCCTGTAATCCCAGCACTTTGGGAGGCCAAGGCGGCTGGATCACGAGGTCAGGGGTTTGAGACCAGCCTGGCTAATATGCTGAAACCCCATCTCTACTAAAAATACAAAAATTAGCTGGGCATGGTGGCGTGTGCCTGTAGTCCCAGCTGTTCGGGAGGCTGAGGCAGGAGAATCGCTTGAACCTGGGAGGCGGAGGTTGCAGTGAGTCGAGATTGCACCACTGCACTCCAGCCTGGGTGACAGATTGAGCCTCTTGTCTCCAAAAAAAAAAAAAAGGAAGAGAGAGAGAAATAATTATATCACAGCAGGAAAGTTGTAAGGTGTTTTATTATTTAATGTAATGAATAATAACTATTTCTTTTCTGGTAAAGGTTCTTCATGGTTCTAGAATACAGTATGATCAAAAGAAAAAAAATTATTTGTAGGAGAAAATGAAATGTGAACCTGATTTCTTAGCAGAGCACAGCTCTATGCAAATCCAGCAAATTTTTCTTTTCCATCAAAAACCTTAAGCTTCTCACAATTTACAAACTAAAAGTTTCAGAAGTACCCTGGAGATTCAAAGCCAATTATATATAAATTATCTACCCTTTATTGCCCAATAATATTGTAACGTATGTCAGTGTTTTTAGGGATTTATGAAATTTGTATTTTGTTACAGCCCTCATACTGCAGACTGTCTTTCCTGGTTTCTGTCCATTAACAAAAATGTCACTCTGTGTCACTTTGTACCTCAAAAATTTTCAGGAGTGCCCTGTAACTTTTATGGTTTTCTCCCACATTAGCACTGTTATTTATAACTCTTCAGTGTGATGAGTAAGGTTTTGCTGGTGATTTAGACATTTAATTAGAAAGTTACATATTTAGTCTTAAAGCTGTTTATAAAGAACCATATTAAAATTTGGGTGAATTTTTTCTAGTAGGTTATATTTGCTACAGTGAAGAAAAACTTTGTAAATTTAGTTAAAAAAATAAAAGGCAGTATATGTAACGTAAAATTGTCAGTTTAAAAATTATAATGCTAAATGAAATATTCCAGCCAAAAAATATAATGTGGAAATTTGCAGTGTAGTATTAGCCTTACTTGTAGCATGAGATTTTTCGCAAAGGGCGTTCTGCATTGAAGAATAATTAGTAGGTCTGTATCTTCTTCAGATAGTATAAATAAAAAGATGATTTGATATTTTCTTCTTCTTCTTGAATATAACCTCCTTATGTTTTGTAGTGAAATGATTTATCTGCCAAGTTATGATTAATCTGAGAAACAGGTTTTAAATGTTTTACTATATTCAGTGTTTTATAAAATTCTACACTTGTTTATTATAAGATAATTTAATCATTTTAATTCGCTGGTGATATAATTGGCGTTATTATTATTATTATTTTGAGACAGAGTCTCACTCTGTCGCCCAGGCTAGAGTGCAGTGGCGCCATCTCGGCTCACGGCAAGCTCTGTCTCCCGGGTTCATGCCATTCTCCTGCCTCAGCCTCCTGAGTAGCTGGGACTACAGGCGCCAACCACCATGCCCGGCTAATTTTTTGTAGTTTTAGTAGAGACGGGGTTTCACTGTGTTAGCCAGACTAACTGTGTTAGTCTCGATCTCCTGACCTCGTGATCCGCCTGCCTCGGCCTCCCAAAGTGCTGGGATTACAGGTGTGAGCCACTGCACCCGGCCAAGTGGCATTATTTAGAAGTGTCTATTTTATTTAAAAGCAAGTGCTTTTTTAAGGAAGTAAGATGGCATATATTATTAAGAATACCACATATGCACAAATACAAAGTAATCCCTCATTTTTCAAATGAGAATATATAAAATCAAGGTTTTCATTCAGTTTAAATTTAGAAACTTTCACAATGTAGATGAAATAGACCAATGTCCACTTTTGTTTTGTTTTGTTTTATTTTTTGAAACTGAGTCTCACTGTTGTTGGCCCAGGCTGGAGTGCAGTGGTGCAATCTCGGCTCACTGCAGCCTCCACTTCTTGGGTTCCAGCAATTCTCCTACCCCAGCCTCTCAAGTAGCTGAGATTACAGGTGCCTGCCACCATGCCTGGCTAATTTTTGTATTTTTAGTAGAGATGGGGTTTCATCATCTTGGCCAGGCTGGTGTTGAACTCCTGACCTCAGGTGATCCACCCACCTTGGCCTCCCAAAGTGCTGGGATTACAGGTGTGAGCCACCGCACCCAGCCCGATGTCTACTTATATTAATATTTATGTGTGATTTACTTACATATTTCTAAATGACAACTATTTAGATATAACTTCCTTCAATTCCTTTATCTTATGCAACAATTTTATTTAAATGCATATGTCAGCCAGGTGTGGTGGCTGTAATCCCAGCACTTTGGGAGGCTGAGGCAGGTGGATCACTTGAGGTCAGGAATTTGAGACCAGCCTAGTCAACATGGTAAAACCCCATCTCTACTAAGACTACAAAAATTAGTGGGGTGTAGTGGCATGCACTGTAACCCCAGCGACTAGGGAGGCTGAGGCAGCAGAATCACTTGAACCCAGGAGGTGGAGGTTGCAGTGAGCCAAGATTGTGCCACTGCCTTCCAGCTTGGGTGATAGAGCGAGACTCATTCTCAGATAAATAAATGAATGAGTGAATGCTTTATGTCGTCATTATTGACACTTTTTGAATCAGCTAACATTTTTCCAAAACATACAATGTCAAAATCCATGTATGCTAGAATGTTTCGCAAGCTACAGTACTTTTTTTTTTTTTTTTTTTTAGTGATGAGGTCTCTCTTTGTTCCCCAGTTCAGTGCTGCAGTCATAGCTAACTATAACCTTGAACTCCTAGGCACAAGCAGTCCTTCCACCTCAGGCCCCAAGTAGTTGGGACTATAGGCACATGCCATCTATACCCGGCTACATTTTTCTTTTTTTGAGATGATGTCTCATTATTTTTGCCCAGGGTGGAGTGCAGTGGCACAATCTTGGCTCATTGCAACCTCTGCCTCCCGAGTTCAAGCGATTCTCTTGCCTCAGCCTCCTGAGTAGCCGGGATTACAGGCATGCATTACCATGCCTGGCTAATTTTTTATACTTTTAATAGGGACGGGGTTTCACCACGTTATGTTGGCCAGGCTGATCTCAAACTCCTGGGCTCAAGCGATCCTCCCAAAATGCTGGGATAACGGTTAAAAGCCACCATTCCCTGCCGGTACCCGTGCTTAATGTCCCCAAATAATGTATTACTTCCCAGAGAAACCAGTTAACATACTCCTTTCAAATGCAATCTTTAGAGAGTATGTTTAGTGACATTCTAGACTTTGCAATTAATTATTGTAGTAATTGCTAAATTTATTTTATATTTCCTTTCTCTTTTTACATTATAAAAATCTTCACACTGAAAAGTTGAAAGAATTTTGCAGTGAACTTTATATAACTCCCAGCTAAGTTCTACTATTAGCATTTTATTGTATTTGCTTTCCATATATCTGTTCATCCCTGTATGTATTCGTTTGTCTTGTTTTTTAATGCATTTCAAAATACTTGCCTCTTTTTTTGAATCTGTTAACTTCTCTAAAATAATTAATTCAGGCTGTAGTAGGCTTAATGTGTCTTTTCCACATTGAAATAATTAGTTAGAAAATACCATTTTGTAACCACCAGTAATAAATAATTCAGGCAAGGACCATCAATAGATGCAAAAACCATTGAGTGAATGTCAAACCCCCATGACGTGCAGTTTACCTATATAACAAACCTACACAGGTACCCCTGAACCTAAAATAAAAGTTAAAAAAAAAAAAGAAAAGAAAGAGTGATGGAAGGGATGTGGCAAGATGTTAACAGTTTAACAGTTAGTGAATTTAGGTAAGGAATATTTAGGTGTTCATTATAATGTTATACCAACCTCTCTGTGGGATTTTAAGAGATAAACGAGTAATATAGGAAACATTCTAAGTACTTGAATAGAAAAGTGAAACCTGCCTTTCTTTGTAAGTCTAGAGCAATACTAATTCATCTTCTTTTTTAGTTTTGTTTAGATTTTATCAAGATACAGCTAGACGGTAAGCTATTTTATGTTTTTTTACTCACTAAAGCTTTCTTTACACCAAAGCACTTTACAGGAATAAAAGATTTAAAAATATTCATAGAATTTATTAAGATGGTTAGTTGTTACATATATCCTTATCAGAGGGCATATATCTTGGTGTAAATTTCATTCAGAAATATCACAGAGCCTAACTTTTTAGAAACCCCTTTTCATTTTTAAAAAATAAAAAAGCTTCTTTAAAGCAGTTATAAAGATTTTTTTTATTACCCACAATAGTAATGATGTGCAGAGCATAATAAATATGTATTTACATTTAAACTTGTATTTCCTCACAATTTCCCCCATTCATGATATTACCCTCTTAAAAGTTATTTTTCCATTTCCATTTGTTTTCCTCCAGAACCAGACCGTGATCCTGTAGAGATTATTTTAAATACCTCTGATCTAACTAAATGTGAATGGTGTAATGTCCGAAAATTACCCGTAGTGTTTCTTCAGGCAATTCCAGCAGTTTATCAAAAGCTGAGCATGCAACTGCAAATGAATAAGGAGGATAAAGTTTGGAATGATTGTAAAGGAATAAATAAATTAACAAGTAAGTTGTGTAAAACAGATTATAATAGGTAATTATAATAGATATTGTATTTACAATAGCTGTTGAATAGCAAAATGTGAGTGCACTTTGACAGATGCCTTAGATGTATATTATCTACAATTCTCACAGCTACCTTGTGAAATAGATATTACTTTCTCCATTTTACAGATAAGGAAAAACTCACAGAAAGTGGAAGGGCTGAAGATAAAACCCAGACTTACTCATTTAGAAAGTTTCTAAGTAGATTAAAACCCAAAAGATCTGCACTCTTAACTAACACTGTAATCTGAGTAAACTAAAATTTTTTAACTGATAGGAATATTAAATGTAAATCAGCCATATAAATCTGGAAATCTTGAAACTTGGCCTGAATAGGAAGTTATTAAGTTCATAAAATGGGCCTTAAGTCTTTATAATACATAGATATGGTTCTCCAGGTTTTTTTCCTTCACGTTTAACACTTAAAGCATGGCTTGACTGCTTAGAAGATAAACACATTTCAGCAGTAATTGCTACTTCAGCTTAATTATGAAAAAGTGTTAGCTACCAGTGAATCTGCAAGAGTTGGCACATTAGTGAAGAGATGTTTTGCAGTTAGATTCTCTTGAGATACTATCAGTTCACGTGGCAATTTTCTATTTGTGTTTGACAAAAATGTTAACTATTATATCTTTATAGATTTAGATTTATTAGATGAAGTAAATTAGTTACATCCGTGAATAGATTTGTTCTTGAACTGTTATTAGAGTAATGTATTCTGGTTCCTTCCTTCTAATAACTTAAGCGAACTTTGCACGTAACACGCACTGGTCTTTCCAGTGATTGTTGTGTATCCACTGTATGTCAGACATTGTTGCAGACCTTTTTACTGGGATTTCTGATTATCTTCCCAGAAAGAATTAATAATTACTCCTTTAAAAGTATCTATTTACTTTTGTTTTTTTAGACTTATATTTGTTTCTTTTCAGATTTGGAAGAACAATATATAATTTTAATTTTTCAAAATGGCCTTGATCCTCAGGCAAATATGGTATTTGAAAGTATCATTAATGAAATTGGTATAAAGAATAACATTTCCAGTTTTTTTGCGAAAATTCCCTTTGAAGAAGCTAATGGCAGACTTGTTGCCTGTACACGAACCTATGAAGAGAACATCAAAGGAAGTTGTGGGCAAAAGGAAAACAAAATTAAAACTGTAATTATGTTTTTTAATTTTAAAAATATTTTTAAATTATGGGTAGTTTTAAAGGAAAATATGTTTTATTTTAATACTGTTCCTTTCAGTGTTAAATATTTTTAATTCTATTTCAGAATTACTTGCTTTTATGTGTGATTTGTAAACTACCTTGTGTCAAAACAGTGGTGAGTGGGTGACAAATAGTACTCGGTACAGGTCTCAGAAGCATTTTTGGTTCCTCCACATTCTATCCTTATCTTTACTTTTCATCATCATTTTTTCTGTCATCCTTTTTTCTTTATACCCTACTTCCAACATATATATGCACACACCACTACTTTCAAATGGATTGGTTACGCTGTGTCTTAGGTTTGAAGAAATTGTGGTCCATGGTGTACATTTGTATGTAACATAGGCATATATGAGAAATGAAGAATACATGCTATTTGATCTTTATTGTCAAAACATGTATCTAATACTAGAATAACTACTCATATAGCTAGGTAACTCTGAAGCCACCTGAAGCAAAGGTCACAATACTACTATAACACATAGTATAATGGTAAATAATACAAACGTAATTTTAAAACTCTTAAGTTTATTTCCTATTATAGCAACTTAGCTTTGCTGACCTAATTTATTGGGAACAGATCTCTCAAACTGCCTGCAAACTTGGAAATATGGCTATCCGCAGCACAATCTTGGTGATAGTTGAGCAAGGACTCCCCAAAAAACTATAAATATAGTTAGTGGGTTGAGAAAAGGACGGGAAATGGTTCTCTTCTTTTGCATAGTTGGCATGGGAGACAGTGCCAACGGAAGAAAAGAGCAGCATAATGCAACTGGGATGGACTCAAACTTCAATGGAAGATTCTTTCCTCTAAGGGAACCCATTTCACTTAGCTTTATGGAGGGCTGAAACTCATTCGACTGTGTTCCCTGAGCCTCTGCCCCTGCATCTTATAGATTGCCTAGCCTTTGAACTAAGAGGCAAAAACCACTTTGGTTTTTTAGAAAGGTTCTTTGAATGTTACCAGCATTATCTGATTTAATGTACATAGTAGAGATCTTAGAGAAGTAAGATACTGAAAAATTACTGTTACATAAGTTGGGAGAGTGTCACTATCTAGAAGCTACAGATAAAAAGAAAGTGGCCCCTAGTTTTGCCTGTTTCTTATTTTTAATTGTTAAATATCATGCATACTTTTTAGTTCCATATTTTTAATCCATTTACATTGAAAAACATTCTTGCCTTGTGCTTACCCTTTTTATTGAAACTTTTCCTAATTGACTGTAAATTGCTAATTTCCTTTACCAGGTATCATTTGAATCTAAAATACAGCTTAGAAGCAAACAAGAATTTCAGTTTTTTGATGAAGAAGAAGAAACTGGAGAAAACCACACCATCTTCATTGGCCCAGTAGAAAAGTGAGAGAATTCTTTTATATTTGCAATGATCTTAAATGTCTTTCTCTGTTTTATTACATTTCAGTTGTGTATACATTTCAGTTGTGTATACATATATATAGATTTGTTTATTTGCTTGCCTTCTAATTTTGTTGCAGGTTGATAGTATATCCACCACCTCCAGCTAAGGGAGGCATCTCCGTTACTAATGAGGACCTACACTGTCTAAATGAAGGAGAATTTTTAAATGATGTTATTATAGACTTTTATTTGAAGTAAGTTAATTTTCCACTGATCTTTTATTAAATCTTTAACATTCCGTCATATCGTATGTCTGTTTTCCAGAGTCAGGCTTTTTGAGTTTTAAATTCCATCTCTACCACTTACTGTGTGACATTTGGGGAGTTATTTAATCTGTTTCTATCTTTGCACATTTTAAAAATGAGAATTCTGTCTAAAGAGTTGTGAAAATTGGGCCAGGGAGTTGACTTATGCCTATAATCCTGACACTTTGAGAGGTCAAGGTGGGAGGATCACTTGAGCCCAAGAGTTCAGGACCAGCCTGGGAAACAAAGTGAGACTCTGTCTCCACAAAAAACTTAAAAATTAGCCAGGCATATACCTGTAATCCCAGCCACTTGGGAGGCTCAGGCAGGAAGATTACCTGAGCCCGGGAGTTCGAAGTTGCAGTGAGTCATGGTGGTGCCACTGCACTCTAGCCTGGTCAACAAAGCAAAACCCTACCCCCACACCCACCTCCCAAAAACAGGAGTTGTGAGAATTAAATGAGATCGTACATATGAAGTAGTAGGAAAAATGCCTAGTACAGTGTTAGAAGTTTATGGTCTTGTAGGAAGCACAAATACGGAATTAAAGCAATGATAGAAGCATTAACATGGTACAGACCTAGCAGTTGAGAGAATGCTTCATTATCTTTGGAGGTTGGGAGATATGAGGGACCAGGAAGCTTTCCTGGAAGAGCCTACATTATGACTCAATATACGTTATGACCCAACATACACATGTATACACCTATGTGCAGTGTCTTTATACATGTATCAATTTGTATGTTTTCACTGGTTTGTGATATAAAATGGACATGTATATGAAATAAAACAGAACTTAGCATCAGTATGCATAGTTCTCTGTAATATTTTCTAGTTTCTTATACTGTGTTTCGTTAAACAAAACAAAACTTTCAAAAATTGATGCTGGAATCTGCTGAATTGATTTTATAGCCTATTGGTGGTTGCAGCTCAGTTTGGTGGGAAAACACATGTTGTTATAAAGAGCAAAATTTTGATCAGCGAAATGATGCGATTGAATTTCTGTAAGACCATTTTGACAGGCATGACACTGTGGAAGTCTAGATGAGAGGTGATTTAAGGAAACAAGACGATTTAAGAAGCCTAATTAAGATATTTTAGTTAAAATGATGGGACGTTTTATGAGGTAGAATTGTTTAGTGTATAGAATTAGTAGTACTCTAGGACTAATTAAGTGGATATTAAGGAGGAGAGAAAAGGGTGCCAGGTAGCTCCTCGTTTTCTGGCTCAAAAGACCTGCTAAATGATGTTGGCACTAAAACAGTGAATGCAGAAGCAGAACAGGCTTAGGTGAGGAGGGGATAAGTTCCCTTTTAGATATCTGTGATATAACAAAAGGACAGTGCCAATCAGCAGTTTAGCAAATGGTTTTAGAGTTTGGTTGAGTTCTGACCAACAGAGATGGTAAGATGTTGTTTAATTGTGAGAATGAATGAAATTGCTTAGGTAGGGATGTAGAATGAGAAAAAGAGTATAAGGACAGATCGATCCTGGAGATTAAATTTGAAGAGATAGACCAAGAATAAAAAGGCTCCCATGAATAATTTCCAAAGCTGTTCAAGAAGTAAGAAGAGAAATTGAAGGGAAGTGAGAGCTTTAAAGGAGATTATATTCAGTGTTAACAATATAGCGGAGATCAGGGCAGATAAGGGCTAAGTATAATTTTGAGTTCACAATGACCCCAAGGTAATTAAGGTCAACTATGCAGCCTGGACTTGCATCCCAGTCCCAGGGGTAGCAAGTTACCCCTGAACTCCATTGGAGATGGTATCAGTGGAGGCCTATTGGAGACCTCCCACCCCATCCATCAGTAACAGGGAGCCCTCTGGTATCAGTGGAGGTCTAGTAGAGAACATGTACTTTTAGTCCCACCTCACAATAATGAGGTAACACCCTACTACCCATTGGAGTGTGGTGCTAGAGGAAGTCTGCTAAAACACAAGAATTATATTGCTCTACATAGTTGCCAGCAAAAACAAAAACCATAATACTCAAAATGTCTAGATTTCGAAATGAAAATAATTTGCCTTACCCAGAATCAGGAAGATCTCAAACTGAATGAGAAAAGAAAGTCAATAGATATTAACACCAACAAGACACAAATGTCAGAATTATTTGACAAAGATTTTAAAGCATCCGATACAGTTGGGGTTTGTGTCCTGACCCAAATCTCATGTCCATTTGTAATCCCCACTGTTGGAAGAGGGGCCTTGTGGGAGGTGATTGGATTCTGGGGGCAGATTTCCCCCTTGCTATCCTTGTTATAGTGAGTAAGTTCTCACAAGTTCTGGTTGTTTATAAAAGTGTGTAGCACCTCCCCCTTTGCTCTCTCTTACTCCTGCTCCGGCCGTGTAAGATGTACCTCCTTCCTCTTCACCTTCCCTCATGATTCCAAGTTTCCTGAGGCCTCCACAGCCATACTTCCTGTACAGCCTGTGGATCTGTGAGTCAATTAAACCTCTTTTCTTTATAAATTATCCAGTCTCAGGTAGTTCTTGTTGTTGTTGTTGTTGTTGTTGTTTATTTTATTTTTTTTTTTGGAGATGGAGTCTCGCTCTGTCACCCAGTCTGCAGTGCAGTGGCGTGATCTCGGCACACTGCAGCCTTTGCCTTCTGCATTCAAGCAGTCCTTCCACCTCAACCTCTTGAGTAGCTGGGATTACAGGCACTCACTACCACACCCAGCTAATTTCAGGTAGTTCTTTAGAGCAGTGAGAGAACGGACTGATACAGCATCCATCATAAAAATGTTTTAATGAACATGATGACAACTTGTGAAACAAATGAAAACTCAAAACAATATAAAGAAGAGAGAAATGGATGGGTCTGTAATCCTAGCAGTTTGGGAGGTCATGGTGAGAGGATCACTTGAGGCCAGGAGTTTGAGACCAGCCTGGGTAACATAGCAAAATCCTCATCTGTACAAAAAAACAAAAATGTAAAAAGGAAGAAACATAATGGAAATTTTAGAACTAAAAATACAAAACTGAAATAATGACTTCAGGGGCTGGGCTCAATAGCGGAATGGAAAAGACAGAGGAAGGAATCAATGAACTGTCTACAAGACATGTCAAGGTAATGATATTAAATAGGTTGAAAGAAAAAGGATGGAAAAGATACACCATACAAACATTAAACAAAAGAAAGCAGAATCTGATAAACTTCTGAGGAAAGAAAATTACCAGGGATCAAGAAGGATATTTTATAATGATAAAAAAGTGATCCACCAAGAAAACATACTAATCCTATGTACTAAACAACAGAGTTATAAAATGTGTGAAGCAAAAACTGATAGACCTGAAAGGAGAAACAGACCAATCCACAAATAAACTTGGAGATGTTAGTACCCCTCTCTCAACAATTGGTAGAATAACTAGAAAGAAAATCAACAAGGATATAGAAGAACTCGACAACACCATCAACCAGCAGAATCTACTCAACATCAGGATTATATTCTTTTTTTTTTAAAAATTACACTTTAAGTTCTAGAGTACATGTGCACAATGTACAGGTTTGATACATAGATACATAGGTATACGTGTGCCATGTTGGTTTGCTGTACCCATCAACTCATCATTTACATTAGGTATTTCTCCTAATGCTATCCCTCCCCCAGCCCTCCACCCCGCAACAGGCCCCAGTGTGTGATGTTCCTCGCCCTGTGTCTAAGTGAACTCATTGTTCAGTTCCCATCTATGAGTGAGAAAATGCTGTGTTTGGTTTTCTGTCCTTGTGATAGTTTGCTGAGAATGATGGTTACCAGCTTTATCCATGTCCCTGCAAAGGACATGAACTCATCCTTTTTATGGCTGCAACTATGCATGGTGTATTGTATTCCATGTTGTATATGTGCCACATTTTCTTAATCCAGTCTATCATTGATGGACATTTGGGTTGGTTCCAACTCTTTGCTATTGTGAGTAGTGCCACAATAAACATACGTGTGCATATGTCTTTATAGTAGCATGATTTATAATCCTTTGGGTATATACCGAGTAATGGGATTGCTGGGTCAAATGGTATTTCTAGTTCTAGATCCTTGAGGAATCGCCACACTGTCTTCCACAATGGTTGAACGAATTTACATTACCACCAACAGTGTAAAAGCGTTCCTATTTCTCCACATCCTCTCCATCATCTGTTGCTTCCTGACTTTTTAAAGATTGCCATTCTAACTGGCGTGAGATGATATCTGATTGTGGTTTTGGTTTGCATTTCTCTGATGACCAGTGATGATGAGCATTTTCTCATGCGCCTGTTGGCTGTATAGATATCTTCTGTAGAGAAGTGTCTTCATATCCTTTGGCCACTTTTTCATGGGGTTGTTTTTTTCTTGTAAATTTGTTTGAGTTATTTGTAGATTCTGGATATTAGCCCTTTGTCAGATGAGTAGATTGCAAAAATTTTCTGTAGGTTGCCTGTTCACTCTGATGATAGTTTCTTTTGCTGTGTGGAAGGTCTTTAGTTTAATTAGATCCGACTTGTGTATTTTGGCCATGTGGAAGCTCTTTAGTTTAATTAGATCCCATTTGTCTATTTTGGCTTTTGTTGCCATTGCTTTTGGTGTTTTAGTCATGAAGTCCTTGCCCATGCCTATGTCCTGAATGGTATTGTCTAGGTTTTCTTTTAGGGTTTTTATGGTTTTAAGTCTAACATTTAAGTCTTTAATGCATGTTGAATTAATTTTTGTATAAGGTGTAAGGAAGGGATACAGTTTCAGCTTTCTACATATAGCTAGCCAAGTTTCCCAGCACCATTTATTAAATAAGGAATCCTTTCCCCACTTCTTGTTTTTGTCAGGTTTGTTAAAGATCAGATGGTTGTAGATGTGTAATGTTATTTCTGAGACCTCTGTTCTGTTCCATTGGTCTAGATCTCTGTTTTGGTGCCAGTACCATGCTGATTTGGTTACTGTAGCTTTGTAGTATAGTTTGAAGTCAGGTAGCGTG